AAGTCTTCCTACCAATATGACCATGTTGCGAAAACAAGGTCAAACAAGCTCTATACAACGAAAGGAGACTACGACCACACAAAGGGCCACACCATCTTGGTCTTCATACCTTTGCGAATAAAGTTTGATTCTCCAGCCTAGCATTGCATGAAGCTTGATTGCATCGTTATGATTGCCATCTCTAAACTCGTCTCATTAGGAGTATACCATTAATTGTACTAATGGTACTACATATCCTGGGTTCGAGCTCCGCTGGAGGCTGATGAGGCCCATGCGAGGTAAAAATCAAATCAAATCTGAAAAGCAGCCTCCTCTGGATGCCAAAGTCAGGCCTTATTCCATGTTATCGTGGCGGAAGAATAGGTATGCACCATTATCCTTAAAAAATGCTCCTCAATTATTTTCCGAATCTAGTCAACCTCTCCGCTTGCTCTTAGTAGAATGGACCAAGACTTTTGAACTTCTGTTTTCGCGAATTTTGGATTTGACTCTCAGTTGGGCGACCGATGCTGGATGGGAGGACCGTGGGGGCTCATCTGCTACGGAGTTTGCTCCCTCTTGGCCTGCCAGTTTTCAGGCCAAACCATCACTTCAGTATGCCACCACGATCACATCAAATCGTGTGTGCGTGTGGCCACTTGTATGTGCTTCAGTGTGAAGCTGTTCCAAGCCCAAGTTCTAGCAGAGTTGTGGGATTGCATGTGCGAGTTTGTCGATTTCGGCAATTCGTTGGCAGCTTGAGAAGGTCGGAGCTGTTTCGCCCCACCTGCGGAGCCTGCCAGACCAGGTGTGATCTGATGGCCTGTCGAATTGTGTCTTTCCCGCTTCACACGCCTTCGAAGTATCTACTCCCACCCTTTCTCGCCACCTCAGTCCGCAGAGTGTTTAAACTCCACCTTCACACTTCCCATTTAACTTTCACCTTCACGAAGTCAACTCACCGACCCGCCCATAAACACATACGCACACACACATATTTGTAGGTGGACGAGCAAATGGCTTTGATCTTAATACGTGCCGAAGAAAGGGCTTTGTGCAGAATCAGGAAGATGTGAATCCCATTCGTCACTGCCTATTCACCTTGCCTTTTCCAGCCAATGTCTCACTCTCTTTCTTTCCCTCTGACTTTTTTCGTCAGGTCCCGTACACTCAGCTTTGGGAGGGGAATATATTCGATATTAGTAGAACTTTCATACCTGCCATCTGCTTCAGAAATTAACTAATACCCTTCCTGCTAGCTCATGGGCCAAACTGGATCATGTGGGACGTCAAGACTTGAGAGGAAAGAACATATTAAGTCGTGATTTCGGAGCATCGTTTCTTTTCTCTGCGGGGCTCGTGTCTAGACTCTTCCATACGAACACCCTCGAGTGTGTACGTGCACACGTAGACAGACAACTTCTCGCCTGGACGATCAGAGTTTTTCAGTCTATCTGGGACGTGATTGAGGCCCTGAGCTTGAAGGATGGTTAGATTTCCAGCATTCACTAAGCATACAGAATTGAAATAATGGCGGAACAGATCGGGCGAATCTTGAAGATGTTCCGGGTCGTATGAAGCGGAGCAAGTGAATAAGGTGGGTTAAGACGGTGTGGTAGGCAGAGGGCAAATCGGCAGCCAAGAGGAGGATGAGGCAGAAGTTTCCTCTCATGCCGGGTCATTAATTATTGCTGCTCACGCAACATTATTTTCAGCAATCTGTTGACCCAGCAACCAACGAGGTTCGGCAACAACTCGTTTTGCTTCAGGTCTAAGTCTAGCCCAAGCGACACACTCAACTGCACATTAGCACACCCACAAAGGCATACATTTGTATACAGACAAGGGCACAGACACATATGCCCACCCGTGCTGTCTGGCCTCGGATGAGCTCAGCCATGTTGGTTCTCATGATGTAACGTATCGTAAGTCCTGATAGATCTGTGCAGGCAAGGCACTGAATGGGAAACCAATTGGGGCTGTGAGAGATCGAAAAATAAGACTCGACAATTTTATCTCACTGGCAGAACACCAAAATGCCTTCAAGTGAGGTTAGAAGGCAGATTAGGAGCAGACGTCATTCCTCCTGAGACTCGGTCCGACGTGTTGGTGACCAAACGAGATCCGGCCCTGAGACCGATGCTTTGCACGTTGGGCTTTTTGGCTGACATGGCTGACATGTCGACATGCTGAATTCGCTTCTCTCCGCTAAGCACGACGTGATGGTAACTTCGTCCATTCGGCTGTCTCGGCACAACACCACAGACCATTCAACGCTGATCCCACCTTCCAGATGAGCCTTCGAGCTGATGCCAAGCCTGTCTTCCATCGACCCTCCGGGTCGGTTGGATATGACCATATGAAGTGGTTATATTAGAACAGGTTTCCTTTGAAAAGAACACTGGTTCCTAAATAAATGTCATTGCCATCAGTCAGAGAGGACTTTATATGTT